CATGGTGTCTCTGCAGGGTGAGACTCGGAGCTACCTGATGAGGGGCTGCAGTCTAAGATGACATGAAGGACAGGAGGCTACCCACTGGGCAACAGATCTTAGCGGGCCGCAGGGCCCCCAGGAGAGGGTCCAAACCTAATGCTAGGAGGGGGCACTCTCCATGTAGGCACGGGACCTGGAAGCCTGGAAACGGCCGTGGTCCCTGCTGAGTGATCCTGAAAGGCCTCCGTGGCCATGGCAGATGGTAACGGAAGGGCTTCAAAGCCTGAGAGAAGTGGGCCTGTGGGGGACTGGACAGGGAAGTGCAGGCAAAACCACCCCTGGAGGAATTCTGTTCCGGAGAGCTCCAAGGCCATCATCACGCATGGACTGGAGAGAGGGCACTGGCACCATCGGGCAGCTCGGGGCCTGGGGGAGGAGGGGCTCCTCTGCCCATCGGGGCTGACCTCAGGAGAGCCTGTCACAGGATTTGGTCACTGAGAACACGGCCTGTGAAAGGGCCACTGCTGCTCCTGCCTGCCCTCTTGTCCCTCCTCCTCCTGCTCTTTCCTATCTCTTCCGCAAGCCAGGTCCAATCACAGGAGAGCCTTTCACAGAGCGAGGCTCACCGAGAACAGGGCCTGATGGGTTGTCCCCTCCACCTCCCCGGCAGCAGGAGCGGCAGCAGAGCTCAGGCGTTAGCACTAAGCAGGACCAAGCGGTCAGAAGCAGGGGACTAGGACGATCACATGGCCGAGAATGCCGAGTGATGGGGGCAGGGCCTTCAGTGAATGTGTAGCCCACACAGATACAGCTCAAAACGGACAAAGAGAGCGAGGGTGAATGCGCAGCAGGCTAAGGGCAGGCACCACAACCAACAAGTCAGGATCCACGGCCCAGTGTCTGTCACCGTGCCAGTTGCTAGAGCTAGAGCACGGTGACCAGAGTGGTGGCTGGGACCCCAGGGGGAAGGATGCCACAGCGCCTCAGCAAGCAGGAGATGGAAGGATCCCCCAGCCTTTCACACAGGGACCTACGGCCACGTCCTGGGTGACTAACCACTGGGGAAACGAGAATACCCAGACAGTCCGAGGGCTGCTGGACGGTGCCTGGCTTGCAGTGATACCAGAGGCCAATCAACTCCACGGGCAGGGTGCCTTCAGGAAGACGTCCCACGCTCACGCTGCAGGACAAAAAATACCCCTGGGTTCAAAGTATGAGGATTTGTGTGTGGGGCTCAAGTGGGGAGAGGCTGGAACCCACCAGGCTCCACAGTGAGCTGCAGAGCCAGGAGATAGTAGATTAATTTTCCGAGGAAACTTTCGGGATACTTACGGTATACCCAAAGGACTGATACTTACCATCACTGTAACACAGCACGAGCTTGAAAGGACAGACAGAAAGGTATGGGCAAAGAACTGGGGAACGCACACCAAACGACAAGCACGCAGGCCTCTGGGAAGTGGCCTTCGGGCAGTTCTCTGTGCCTGATCCCCATACACTTTTCCATCCTTTGCACGGTTGCCACAGTGCACGTGTGGGCATCAGCGGTCAGCCAGATGGGCCTTCTCACAGAGCACGGGACCAGGACAACTCAGGCCTCGTAACCACGGGCACAGGCTGGCAACCTGTCCTCTAGCCCCTGCGCTCAATCAGGTGAATAGAAAAAGCCGTACCACATGCTCATGTGGCTGCGGCCCAGGGCTCGGAACCCTCCCTCCAGTTTTACAGGGCCTGGCACGTGGGTCACAAAGGCTGAAGTATCTGGAGACGGGAGGAAGGAAGAAAATGCAAGCTGACCAAAGAGCTCGGAGCCACGGAAACGTGGACCGGAACGTGTTCTGGCCCCAGCCTGAAAGCGGCACTGAGCTACTGGCCCACAAGGTGAATGCAAGTGGGAGCAGGGCAGGCACCAGAAGCTCACAGGAACTCAGAAGGTTCGGGCCCCGCCCCTCGCAGTCTGTGTGCCAGCCACCACACCTACCCCATGGAGCCCAAGTGGCCCACCCGGGTCTACAGTTAATGGGGGGCAGCTCCTTCCCATCCACTCGAGTGGTGCTGAGACAGAAGTGGAAGTCACTGCAATTCTCAGGGTGGTGCCACATGCCGTGGGCCACGTCGAGAGCGCTGTACCACACCCGAGCTGCCCAGGAGAGAGAGGGAAGGAAGGGGTCTGGGCAACTGGCTGGACTCCCGATCTGGGGACAAAAGGGGAGTCGCAGGGCAGAAGACCAACCTGCTGTCTTCACACAGCTGCACGGGCGTCCCAGCTTCCTGTGTGTCACAAGACTGTATGAGTCCAGGCACCGAATGAAAGCTAAACTGTGAACGAATGAAGGGAGAGTCAGGAAGGGCCCCCTAGCTAAAGGGCAGAGTGCTGGACACGTGACGCCCAAGCAAGGCTCCTTCCAGCTGCAAGGAGTCTGCGGGCCGCCAGAGGGGATGGGTTTCACAGCCTGCAGAGGGAGCAACAGTGGGCCATTCCAGGACCTTCAGGGTTACTTACAATTCAGAGCACCTGGGTCCACACTGCGTCCAGAGCAGCCCTGCAAAGAGAGGATGAAACGAGTGCCCCGGGGAGGGGGGAAGGAGAGGGGAGGGGGAAAGAAGGGCTGGAGAGAAGGAGGGATCTGAAAGGCAAATAACCAAGGCTGTGGACGTGCACGGCCGGCAGTCGGGGTTGGAGACCTCTCAGGACCCTTGCAGCCCTGAGGCTTACCTTCCAGGAAGAAGGTACCCTCTGGCCCTCCCCTCCCCTGCAGCATTCTTGTTGCTCAAGCTTCCCTCCAGAAGAGTAGGTGCCTCCCCCTAGAAAAGAAGAGAGAGTGCAGTGTTTTGTCAATTCCCCATCTACCAAGCAGCTACCATGGTCCCAGGCACACTTACGGAAAAGAGTCAGGACCGGCTTTGCCTGGAGGAACAGTGGCAGGAACAGGCCCTTCAGAGCAATTACAGGCCTGGCTTCCAAGAGCCTAAAGGAGGGAAGGAGGGAGGGAGGGAGGGAGGGAGGGAGGCAGGGAGGCAGGGAGGAACAAGAGTCAAAACGCTAGCAGAACTCAGAGGGAAAAGCACCTGATGCTTGGGGGAGAACCAAGGTGACTTTACAGTTGTGTCTGGAAGCAGAACTGGGATTGCCAGCACAAGAGGCGGCAGAATCCCAGGCCGTACCAAGCAAGGAGTCCTGGTGGAGCCAGCTGGGCCAGGACCAGCAGCCACACAGCATGGCGTGAGCCCCACAAGTGGTAGGCCCGAAGGGTGCAAAGGCCTGGGGCCGACGTCCTGGGGTGCCTGGACTGAAACAGCAGAAGGAACAGGAGAAGGCTTGGCCGAGTTTCAGTAGGGGACTGATGGGGACAGGTTTGTGACTCAGAAGCGAAACTGCTGGGGCGTGGAGGACTGACTGGAGGCAGGGAGGACAGAGGGCCCCCAGGCCAGTCAGGCGTCAGGTGGAACAGCACAGGTAGGGACACTCGGGCCTGAACTCAGGGAGCAGCAGCAGGTGCAGCATTCTCCCTACAGCTCTCTCAGAGGTAGGGATGGAGACCTTGGCTCTCAACCCAACGTCCAGGGCTGGGTAAGTGAGGGAGGCCGCCGAAGGTGCAAACTTTTCTCCTCACTTGCAACCCAGGCCTGAAAGTCAGATCTCTCCACCCGCCCCCACTCCCAACTGCTCACCCAGAGGGACTAATTCAGAGGAGATCCCCGCAGGGATGCTCAGCCCCCCACCCCACCCTGGGAGAGAGGGCACAGCTCAGCCTAGAGCGTCACAGACCTCAGGCAAGGCTGCCTGCCCCTCTGGCCGCCGACACCCTCTGGCACACACGCTGGGAGCTGGCTTATGTCCTGAGGACCCGCGGGCTGCCACTCTTGACTCCTGCCTAGGGGCTGAGCACACAAGCCTCCCTGCTTGTCCAGGGCTCTGCCCTGCTCTCTGCCCCGCCTCCAGCTTTCTCACAGCTGCCCAGCAGGCCCCTGCTCCTCCAGGGGGTGAAGGATGCCTCCCTCCAGGGGGCACTTCAGCCCCAGCTCCTCCTCCAGGGTACTATGCTGGCTCCCCGCCCAGCTGGCTCCCCACTTGCTGGGCTCCATCCCGCAGCCCCGCTGCCCCCTGCAAGTCATCTCCAACAGTCCTGTGCAGCTGCCCCCCCTCTTGTACACCCAGCTTCTCCCCGAGGCTTCCTGCAGCTCTGCCCCTGCTCCTCTTTACAGGGCTCTTGCACACCCAGCAGCTCCCCCAACTCTTCGCCAGGGCTCCGCCTAAGCCCCTCTTCCACCTCTGCTCCCAGAGCCACCGACCTCCTCAGTGCAGCTCTGCCTACCCCTCTGGCCTGCTGCAACTCCTGCTCCTTTGCGAGCGAGCTCTTAGCCACAGCCTAGCCAAGGTCCTCCGGCGACAGCTCCACCTCTTTCTACCCGTCAAACAGAGCTCAGCTCCTCCCCCGCCAGCACTCTCAGAAACCTTGGCTCCCATCTGCCACAGCCACGGCCCGGCCCCAGCCACTCCTCCAGCACTTCCTCAGAGCCCTGCTCCCTCTCCCCTCACCCACCCCAGCCCCAGCCTAGCCCCAGACTCCTACCCAGGACCTAGTCACAGCTGCCGCTTCCCCACCCGCAGCCTGCCCTCCATTCCCGCCCAGGCATCCCAAGTTCCGCCCCATCCCTCCCTCCCTCCCTCCCTCCCCAGGCTCTCGCAGCCCCACCCCGGCACCGCCCCTACACGTCTCTGCCCCGCCTCTCCCGCTCTCAACTCCGCCCCAAGAGCGTCCCCGGAAGTCCCGCATGGCCCCGCCCCGCCCCTCCCACAGTCCCACCCCGCGGATAGGCCCTTGCACGTTTCCCGCCACGCCCCCACGCCTCAGACCCGCCCCTGACCCAGAACCTTCTCAGGGCCCCGCCCCAACTCCTTCCCCGGAAGTTCTGCACAGCTCCCCCTTTCCTCCCGCAGCCCTACCCGCTACCCCTCGCCCACACGGCCTCACTAGTCCGTCCTTTCCCTCCAACAGCCAAGCCCCCACTCCTCTCCAGCATGCTTGTCAGGGCACTGCCCTTTCCTGCCCTTCTCTTCTGCCAATCGCTTCCTCGGAATCTCCTGTAGCTCCGCCCTGCTCCTCCCACAGCCCCCCTCCTGATGCCTCACCAGCACGTTCTCCAGCCACGCCCCTCCCCTCCTAAGACCCGCCTTCGACACTGCCCGCGACCAGTCACTGCCCGGCTGGCCCAAGTCCTAGCCCCGCCTCCGACTCCGCCCCCGCAGTTCTCACAGCACCGCCCCTTCCCAAGTCCCGCCCCGTCCCTCCACACCTCCGCCTCCAAGCTCTCGCCAGCCTCTCATCCCGCCCCCGCCCCCGCCCCCGCCCCCGCCCGCTCCTTTCCAGCGCTGCCCTGCTCCACTGGGGTCCTGGGCTGTGGCCTCCACACATCCTCCTGCAGCAGGTTCCCGCACCGGAGCCCTACTCCGGCCACAGCGCCGCCCCCAGCAGGGTAAAACACCCAGCCCCCCTCCAGCCCCAGCTCCACCCCGGCCCCTGCGCACGGCCCCCTCCGGCAGCTCCGCCTCCGTTGCTAAGCCCCATCCCCAGCAGGCTCGCTGGCGGACCTCTTCCCGCCCCTTCCGCTTCCTGCCCCGAGGCCCTCTGTCTGAGTGGCGTCCCCTCTCTGGGCCTAGGGTCTCGCCGAGCCCTCCCGCGTCGTCGCCCGACCTCCGGGTGCTCGCCTCACGACCCTAAAGGGTCCATCGCCTAGTGCCCAGTGAGTGTGTGCGTCAGTGCGTGATCACGTAAGTGCGTGGCTATGGAACTGCCCTGTTGAGCGGCCGAGTACGTGCCGGTACGCACGTACGTGTGTTGCGTAGTGCGTGACGTGTCCGTAAGGGCGGAAGTGCGTCCCCTTAAAGGGCCAGTGAGGGCCCGGCGGAGACCATGGGAGTGGCTCACGCTGTCGTCTGCCGGAGTCCCAGCGGCGGTGTTCTCGGGGACGACCGTGGTGTCCCGACTGTGGCCGGCCGGGCGCTCTCTTCTCTCCCTGTGGCCCGCGACGTCTCGGCCGGGCCTGGAAGCTGGTAGTCCTGGGGCTGGCGGCCTTGCTGGGCCGAGCCCAGCGGCGATAGAGCTGTCCTGGCGTGTGGCCAAAGGCCGGAGTCGGCCCAGCTGGCCTTGGACTCGGAGGACCCCGTAGGTGCGGTGGCAGTGAGCCCGGAAGCGGCTGGAGGGAGCCTGGACGTGATGCGCCAGGGCTTGGGTGGCTGCACTTGGGCGAATGGTACCTGTGGGCCGGAACCCCGTGTGGGACGTCCCGAAGCCCCCGAGCCTGTCTCCTCCTCCAGCCAGCATCTTGCACCCTGGCTACTTCTCAGCCTGTGTCCCAAGGATGTGCCCCTGGGTGTGGCGAGCCAGTGCGCTGCTCCACACACCCAGGCCCCACCTTGACCCAGAGACTGGGAGGGGCCCAGCTCCATGGGTCCTGTGGGACCCCATGCCCTGCCCGCCCTCCCCAGAGTTAGACTGAGGGACCTGGGCCCCCAGACCTCTGCCTGGTGACTCTGTGGGGGCCAGTGTCATTTTTCCTCTCTTAGCTCCTGCTTGCTCGACCTAAGAACGCGGCCCCCTCACCAAGACGGGTTTCTGCCTGCCCGCTGGCGCTTCATGTGGCCCTTGAGCCTCGCGCGCTCTCCCCCGCCATGTGAGCCGAACCGGCGCTGGCGCTTCATGTGGCCCTCGAGCCACGCGCACTCTCCCTCGCCATGTGAGCCGAACCAGCGCTGGCGCTTCATGTGGCCCTTGAGCCTCGCGTGCTCTCCCCAGCCATGTGAGCCGAACCAGCGCTGGCACTTCTCCTGGCCCTTGAGCCACGCGCGCTCTCCCTCGCCATGTGAGCCGAACCAGCGCTGGCGCTTCATGTGGCCCTTATCCACGCGCGCTCTCCCCCGCCATGTGAGCCAAACCAGCGCTGGCACTTCTCCTGGCCCTTGAGCCACGCGCGCTCTCCCTCGCCATGTGAGCCGAACCAGCGCTGGCAATTCATCTGGCCCTCGAGCCACGCGCGCTCTCCCTCGCCATGTGAGCCGAACCGGCGCTGGCGCTTCATGTGGCCCTTATCCACGCGTGCTCTCCCCCGCCATGTGAGCCGAACCAGCGCTGGCACTTCTCCTGGCCCTTATCCACGCACGCTCTCCCTCGCCATGTGAGCCAAACCAGCGCTGGCGCTTCATGTGGCCCTTATCCACGCGCGCTCTCCCTCGCCATGTGAGCCGAACCGGCGCTGGCGCTTCATGTGGCCCTTATCCACGCGTGCTCTCCCTCGCCATGTGAGCCGAACCAGCGCTGGCGCTTCATGTGGCCCTTGAGCCGCGCGCGCTCTCCCTCGCCAAGTTAGCTGAACCAGCCCGGAGTGCCACGTGCTGGGGTGGGTGTCGTCCCCGAGTCCGCCTGCTGCCTGTTGTTGGTCTGCGTTGTGTGCTGGGTACCAGGCCTGCCTGTGCTGCTAGCCTGCATTCTGTCTTCTGACGACCTCTTCCCTCGTCTCCTTTTCTCTCTGCAGGTGAAGGAGCCAAGGCAAGCAGGCAGGCAGGCAGAAGAGCGCTCCCTCCTCGGGCGAAGCAGGTACCATCTGCAGCACCAGGCCGCGTGAGGGGAGTTCCTCTGCACCCTTGGTGCCTTTCAGGTTAGGGCACTTCTCACCGAGGATTCCCCCCACACAGTGCGTGTCTGATTGCTACGATTCCTGTGACGTTGCTGAGAAAGGGGTTGGCTAGAAAACCGGGAGGGAGAGACTGGACAGATCCTCATCCTAGTGCCGGATCTCAGTAGAGGTAGTAGAAATGGCCAGGCGCCCTGGGCTGCATTCAGCTCTCCTCGGAGGTAATCCAGAATCAAGGAACGGGGTGAGCCTTTGTCACCTGTCAGCAGCATGCTGTCGCTGAGGCCCGACAAGTGTGTGAGGAACCCTTGTGTGTGAGCCACCCTTGGGTGCTGGTGTGCACACTGCTGAGGCGTTGCGGAAGGCCGTTGGCCGGCATGTAGTAGCGTCCTAGATGTGGGTGCCTGCACCCGGGCAACCTCTGAAACGGGTCTTCAGTGAACGTTAGGGGTGATGTCGTCTCCTGTGGCAGAAAACGGGACGCGGCTTGTCAGTCGGTCTCCATCGGTAGAGGAGTAGTCAGGTAAATGCCGAGACAGAGAGCAGGGGGGTAACACGCAGGCAGTGAAAACTAAGGGAAATGGAGATGCACAGAGGATGTGCTTGATGTGTGGCTAAATGGAGAAACCGTGCCCTGCCCCGAGGTGATGTGGAAGGAACGTCTCAAACCTGTGCGTTGATTTGCCAAGGGGGCGGGACAAAAAGGCTGGCTTTGCAGCGGCAGGGAGCTGTGCCACAGTGCTGGGGACCAGAAGCCCGAGAGCAAGGTGTTGGCTAGGTCTGTTTCTTCCGTGGGCGGTGAGAACCTGTCCTATCCCTGTGTCTTAGCCACTGGCGCTGGACTGACACGTGTTGGCCTTGCTTGGCTGACAGAAGCATCTCCCCGGGGCCCTGCCTTCACCTCATCATGGCATCTTCCCTGTGTGTGTGTGTTTCTCTTCCAGTTTCCCGTTTCTGGGGATACCGATTGCGTTGGGTGTGGGTCCATGCGAATGATGTCGTTCTTACTTGATTGCCTCTGCAAAGACCCTGTCTTTCCGTATGTGGTCACGTTCTGAGGTGCTCAGGGTTGGCACGTCAACCCACGCGTTTTCTGGGATGCAGGGGAACCCATCGTGACCTATACAGGCCCTAGGGTAGGAACAGAGTTGGTATGTTCCTGGGGTGGACGTGAGGCCTGTGGCGAATACAGGAGAGAGGGGTGCAGGAAGCCAGGGCGGGGAACCAGACCACGAGGGAGCTCGTGGGCCCTCGGGAGAAGTGGCAGCATCTGTACCGGTTGGTGCACGAAGCCCTTTGTAGGTTCCAGCAGAGGAGTGACAGAATCTGCATGCCCCAGTGCTCTGGCCTCTCCCTGGGTCTTGGACAGTAGAGTACAGTGGGAAAGTGCCAAGGCAGTGGGCCAACAGGCCAGGACACCAAGAAGGCCGCCCCGGTGGAGAGGTATGCAGCGAGATTGTGACCATGGAGAGTCGATGGAAAGGGCTGGGATCCAGGGTAGGTTTTGGAGGTAGTGCCACGTGACATGAGTAGTGGATACTGGAAGGAAAGGGAGGCTGGAGAGCTGTTAGGTTCGTGGCAGGAGCCCTTGGTAGGTGGTGACGCCTCTTACAGAGGTAGAAGGTGGTGGATTTGGGGTGGTGGTGGGTGGGGCCCCAAGTCTGTGCTGAGACTGAAAAGGTGTGTGCTGCGCCCAGGGAGGCAGAGCAAGCCAGCAGGAAGCCTGGGAGCCTGGTGAGTGGCACGCTGAGCCATGTTGGGACTGCAGAAGACCAGTCGTTGGCGCCTGAGCGGACACACTTACTGGTGGAGGGGAGGGACAGGAGTCAGAGGGAGCCTATGGACCAGCACTGCTCAGAGGTCTCCACTGTGCAGTGGTTTAGAGAAAGGCTGTTGTTGGACCAGGAGGCACACGTGGCCTCAGAGGGGTGTTTGTCGACTGGTAACGACGGGTGCAGGCGTCGTCCTCTGAAAACAAGCGTGCGCGCGTGGGAGTGGGAAGCAGTGATGCAGATTGAGAGCAGTGGCAGGACCCAGGCCTGCAGTGAGCCAGAGGGGCGGGGTCTGGGGCAGCTCCCCCAGAGGAGCAGGAGGAAGGCGGATGACGGGGCAGAGAGGCCAGCAGGGCAGCCTGCGGGGAAGGGTGCGAATGCCAGGCAGCTTCCGTCCTGACAGGGCCTTGTGTCCTGAGGGTGGGTCTATTTTCTTAGAACCACAGGACACACGTACGGGTAAGATCTTGTCCTCAGAGAAAGGACGGGGAGGCAGGAACCAGAGTGGAGGGTGGTGGCTCGTGGGTGGCGTGCAGAGCCAGGGATGGGGCCTCCGGCCCAGCGCAGAAGAAGATGGCAGTGATGAAGATGAGTAGCCACCTTGTGTGGCTGGTCAGGGGCCAGGTGCTGGCTGTGTGCCCTCAGTGCCTTGTCTCCTGTCCTTCCAGCCAGGTGGAAACTCAGGCTGCGAAAGATACCATGACTAAGCTGAGGTTTGGGCTTCCAGCCTGCGGCTCTCTGGACCTAGGGGCTGTGCTGCTCCCAGCGCGGTGCTGTTTTCCATGGGGGGGGGGGGGGGCGGGGGAGACAGGCGACACTCTCCCAAGGGACACACAGAAGAGGCAAGGGCCGAGACACGCGTGTGTGAGGTCAGGGCCCGAGTGTTGTGCCTGTCACTGCTCATCCACAAGGGTCCTCAGTGCAGCACGGCCCTGCTGTGTCAGGTGAGCATTACATTCGGTGATCCCAGGCTCAGGACCTGGCCGTAGAAGGGGTGTGCACACTGGGGCCCTTTGTTTTCCCTCTCGTTACCTCTTTCTGAGGTGGGGGGGGGGCAGGGACTTGAGGGAGGGTTGGAGGGGTCAGGAGGCACACCCGGTGGGGGCCGTCTGGCATCCTCAGGTGTCCAGGGCCGGCTACCAAGGATTTGCACTCAGCAGCCGTGGGGAGGGAGCTGAGCAGAAGCAGGCCTACCATGTGTTGGCGCAGCAGGCCCTGGGAGCTGAAAGCATTGGCGAGGGGACAGTGGGGAGCAGGAAGAGAAGCAGCACCCAGGGTGGTCCCTCTGCAGAAAGAGGCTAGAGCTGCGCCTGTTGGCTGTGCAGCCCCAACTCTGTGCCTTCCCTCCTCTGTGGTCCCCTAGGACTCTTTGACCTCGGTCATAGCGTTGAGCAGATGCTGTCCCGCCTGTGCCTTTTTCTAGCTGTCCTGTCCTGTCCCATGAGCTCCTCAGGGGCCCCATCTGGTGGAGCTGCATCATCCGAGGCTCTTCTGTGGCGCCAGCCGTGGTGCCGGCCCTCAGTGACTACGTGGTGCCTGGTAGAAGGCAGCGAGCCGTTGAGATGAGTGGGCTTTCAGGGCACCGGGGAGACGTTGAGGAGCGGTGAGACTCACTGGCCGTGAACGTGGAGGGCCAGTGTGTGATATTCCTCTGTGTTTCCACAGGCCGCCGAGGCCCGAGGAGCTGGCAGGAGATGAAGTTTGGCTGCCTCTCCTTCCGGCAGCCTTATGCGGGTTTTGTCTTAAATGGAGTCAAGACTTTGGAGACGCGCTGGCGTCCCCTGCTTAGCAGCCACCAGGACCGTACCATCGCCATCCACATTGCTCGCCGGGACTGGGAAGACGTCACCTGGCAGGAGCTGCTGGTGGAAAGGCTTGGAATGACTCCCACTCAGATTCAGGCCTTGCTTCAGGCAGGGGAAAAGTTTGGGCGAGGAGTGATAGCCGGTAAGTGAGCAGCTACTCGGGAGCTGTTTCCCTGGGAACCAGTGGGTGTGTTTGTGCAGATTCCTCACGCAGCATGCCTTCAGAGGGGCAGTCGGGGGCCTCGGTTGCCCCTTGGGGTCTGACGGGCGGGCGTAGGTCCGTGTCTGCGTGTGGCAGCTGTGCCTGTGCGAGCTTGTGCTGCAACAGAGGCCACGGGAGGCAGCCTAGCACAGAGCGTCTGGCAACCTCCAGAGGCAGGCTCCTTGCCTGGCGTCATGTGCCTGGCCCGCCCCCACTGCGCTCAGCATCACGGGCGATTCCTCGAACTAGCTTCTCAGTGCTTGAGGTCTCACACTGACATCTGTCCCCCGGTGACCTCCTTGGGCATCTTGTTGCCCGCCGGCTCCCTGTCAGCAGTTGGGTCCCGCTACTGGGTCGGCTCCCTGTCCCGCGCCTCAGAGCTGTTGCTGGGACACACACTTTCCCTGTGTGCCTTCACTGAAGACCGAGTCATCTCCTCCTCATTTCTGTAGCCTTCTGACTGCCTCGCCCAGGACTCCCCGGACAGAGTTGGGTGTGTCATCCACGCTCAATAAGAAGGTCTCAGCTCACTGTGTGTCTTTGTGGTGACATCACCTTAGTCTGCAGCGCTCGTCGCTTCCAATAGCCATGTTGCACAAGCAGGCCCTGGTTCCTGGAAGGGAGTCAGTTGCGTGTTTCTCTCTCTGCACAGGGCTCGTTGACATTGGGGAAACGTGGCAGTGCCCTGAAAACTTGGCTCCCGTGGAGATTGTGGAACTGGAAAGTCAAGCCGTTCTGACCGACCTGAAGCAGAAGTACCTGACTGTGATTTCAAACCCCAGGTGGTTACTGGAGCCTGTGCCCTGTCAAGGCGGAAAGGATGTGTTCCAGGTAGACCTCCCAGAGCACCTGATCCCTCTGGAACGTGAGGTCTGCAGAGTATGCATCCCTGCGGGGAACATAGCTGACACCTCAGCTCACCATCATGTGCAGGTAGATCTATATTAATCAGGTCAAGCTGGAGTTACCGTTGCCGCGAAGACTGCTGCTACACACCAGGGGAGGTTCACATACGTGGATTTCTTTGCTTGGATGAAGGGAAAGAGGGGTGAACTCTGCCTTGCGTGATGCGCCGAGCTCATTGACCATGTCTCAAGCACTCTGACCTTTAGAAAAAAGGAAATGCCTTGGCATGGTGCTAGTTTTGGTCCTGCTACTTTCTGAATGGTACGAATAAATGCGTTGAAGGTAACTGTTTAGTGTTTGGAGCTCTATCATGTGTTTTTCCCTCCTCTTTGTTCCAGATAAAACTCACCAGATGTCCGAGCAGCATCCAGGGGATGTCGTGGGGCCTCTGGGGCCGGCACTGCACGTTTGCCTGGCAGTGACCGGCCAGTCATGATATGCAGGGGGAAGAGGGGTCAGACACAGAGCAGCTGTCTGTCCTTTCAGAGCACTCTCGCTTCGTTGCCGTAGTATCTGGCATTCATGTAGTATGTGTGTTACGTGTCACACAGCTGCTTCCTAGTCAAGAGGACCTTAGATACAGGCCTCATAGAGGGAGGTCGACTTTGAAAAGTGATGGAGCGGTGTTCATTTTATAGCAAGCCTGTATGTGTGTGTGAGAGAGTGTGTGTGAGTGTGAGTGTGTGTGTGTGTGAGAGAGAGAGAGAGAGGTCTTAGCAGCGTTTCTGAGTGGGGGTTCTCTGTGAGGATTGTGCCCCTCCTCCCCAGTCACTGAATGCAATGGCAGGTGTGGGCCCTGACTTTAGCTGGGCCCCTTTATGGGGCTTGGATGCTGGGTAGGTATGCTCAGCTGCCGATCTGAAACTTCTTGGAAATATTCAGGGGGCCTTGAGGAAAGAATCTCATTTCAAGATCCCCGAGTAGTGTAAGGTGATACCCCGAAGGCCAGGAGCCAGACTGTTCTGTCTCCTGACCAGCAGGCAAGTCCCAGGGTACTGGATCTCCTTGGGCTTGCCCTCAGCATTTCCTGGCAAGATCCTTGGCTAAGTATGTGAAAATGTTTCAATAGAAAGAAGGCAGCAGGGAGCAAAGCATGTCCTGGACAGAGTTTTCTGCTTCCTTGGGCTTATGCCAGTTAAATTTTATATATACATAAATATATAAATACAGATCCATATAATATGGATATTATTATATATAATATAAATATATAGATATAAATACACACACATATATCTATATCTATATCTAGATATATATATATATATATATATATATATATATGTATATATTCTAGTCCACAGTTTCGATGTGACTTGTCCCCTAAAGTTTCATGTGTTGAAAGTGTGGTTCCCAAGGGTGGCAGAAATGGGCAGAGGTGTATCTTTTTTAATATTTTTAAAGATTTATTTATTTGAAGGAGTTAGAGAGCAGGGAGAGGAGAGGGAGATACACCTTCCATCCATTGGTTCACTCTCCAAATGCCTGCCACGGCCAGGACTAGGCCAGGCTGAAGCCAGGAACCAGGAGCTTCACCCGAGTCTCCTACGTGGGTCCAGGGGCCCAAGCATTTGGGCCATCTTCCACTGCTTCCCCAGGTGCATCAGCAGAGAGCTGGATCGGAAGTGGAGCACCCAAAACTCAAACCTGCGCCGATATAGGACGGTGGCAGCTTAACCTGCCACACCACAGCGGCAGCCCCAGTGGTGGACCTCTAAAGTGCAGCCTGGGAGAGGTCCTGAGGTCCCGGATATGTGCCCTTCAAAGGGACTGGTGGACTCCAGTCTCTCTGGCTCCCTGCTGTGCAATGTGAGCTCTTGCTCCTGCATGAGCTCCCGCTGTGATACCACCTGCCGTCAGCCCCCCCCCACCCCCGCTCACTCCTGCCAGAGGCCCAGTTGGTGGGGGCCACTCATTCCTGGGCTTTGAACCTCCAACTCTGTGAGCACACCAAACCTCTGCATAAAGTTATTCTGCCTCAGGTGTTTGACTGTGGTCATGAAAAACAATTTAATGCGGTATGGACAGTTGGAAAGAACACAGACTTGTGATTCTAAGAAGACCAAGACAGGCTTGTTGTTAGGAAATGGTGATCTTTATCAATTTTCAGTGCCCTGCGAGTTCATGGAGGTGGATTTTCCCTGACCCGTTCACAGAAGATACACCTGGAATTGGAGGGACTCTCCTGCTCCAGGGGCTGATTGTAAGTCATGGTGAAGAGGGCAGCTAACAGGATGGAGTAGCAGGTGGTGTACAAAGATATCATGGAATCGTAATCGGGATAGGCTACGGGGCTGCTGGTTGCTTCCCCGGCACCTTGCATTCCAGCTGTACCCGGAGGTGCAAACAGGACATTGGAAGAGGTGCCCTCCCCACTTGGGCCACGCGGCTCCTCGGGAGCATAGATTCTCAGGGGGCTCACAGTGATGTTACTCATAGACCAGATGCCAGAGAACATGAGTGACTGGCTGCTGATGGGGCTGTGAGCACTGGCAGCTTCCCTCTGGGCCCTCCTCTCAGCTTCTTCATCTTCCTTGTTGGGCTGCGTCCGTGGGGATCGTCTGGCAGCTACCAGCTTCCTTTTCTTCGGGCTCGCTCCGCAGGTGGATTGCCGACCGAAGCGTCTCTGGTCTCCTTTTCTTTGAATGTTAGCGAGAAGGGCAGGCTTGTCTCTCTGAAAATTGACGTTGCGATATATCTGAAACAGAATGGGAGATTTTAGTCCTTCTGGGATGAAGTTTGTTGCTGGGACGTGCCCTACAACATCAGCTCACTAAAGATAAACGGTTCATAGGGTGAGGCAGAGGTGTGTCCGATGACGTTCACTGGCCTCTGAGAATCTTTGCCCGGACCTGCAGACCATCTCTGAGCAGGTTGTGGTGTCCTGTCAGAGTCTATACTCTCCTGTGTATACGTTTACCTTTCTGTAAATAACGTCTCACATATAAAAAAGCGATTCTTAGAAATTAAACACGTGTGGTAGGTCCTTGATCTTGGTGCTCTACAAAGATGTTTGGGTAACAGAGAAATAGGAAACAGAAAAGCCTTCTACTTTACCATCATTTTCTTGTTCCCTGGAGAGAGAGCAGACTTCTTGGAGCGTATTTTACTGAACCCGTAGAGGTTAAGCTGACGGGTGAAGGTCTTTATGCTGTCCGTTTCAAAAATCCTGTCCCCGTCTTCCCGAAGAAGGACTTCCCTCTGGAAAAGGTCATTCTCGATGATCACAGTGTCTCCATCTTCGTTCCAGCACACAGACTCAAATGCAGGGTCCTCCACTATCATCCAAAGCTTTCTGGGGAAGGAGAGCCCACAAAGGATATCGCTGCCTTGCTTGTTGACTGCCACTTGACCCTGGGAGCCTGGAACCTGGAGCCTGCGAGTAGGAGCCTGGCTCACTGCCTCCTCACTGAGCTGAACCAAAGCCTTCCCTGAATCCACATTGGGAACCAGTGAAGAACTGGACAGGCCCTCAATAGCTGCCTCTCCACTGGCAGGGGGTCCCAGCATGGCCTCACAGCTTTCTGTACTACTCTGACTAGCCATAGAGCTACACCAGCATTGGGGACACTGTACCCAAGACCGGTATCACTCTCCTAGCAAGTCAAAAGCGCTTTAGTCTCAGAAAGGCTATCCAGTATATAATCTTCCCACGAAATTCTAGAATCCGAGTGGTGGGCCAACCAGTGGCTGAAACCCTCCTCTTTGCCATGTGATGTCACAAGGGTGGGGCACAGCCAGGCCACAGAGGGTGGGGGAGGGGATAAGTGGCCGGGCCCTTGACTTCTCTGTTTTCTCAAAATGTAGAAACTTATCTTTCTGGTTCCCATCAAAGTCTCCTCTCTAGTGACAGGTGCATCAGTTCATATGTCCTGGCCCTGAGTAAGTAGAAGGACTGTGATACCATCGCTGCTCACACTCTTGAAGCTAGGGGAGGCCTGTTGCTGACCCCTCTCAGGGCCAGTCTTCAGTTAGTTCTCATTTTGGTATCAGCAAGACTGCCCGGGTCAGATGGGCCCCTCCCAGAAAATGGTGGTCCCTGCCAGGTGGGTTGGCTGAACCTCCCTCAGCCTCCCCCCACCCCCGGCTTTCTGCTTTGGTATCTTCCAACGACTCCTGATGGTTGCATCTGCTTGGATGGGCCTACGTGAGTGTGTTCTATTGCCACTCATTCAAGTTGTCCCCAGAGGAGGGCTCTGCCTGGGTGCAGTGGGAGCACTCCTGGTGGCCCTAACTGCGCTTGCAGTGTCACTCAAAGCACTGTTGTGTGATTCGATGGCCACATCCTCAGCGGTGCTTTGGAGTTGCATGTTGAGCTCCTCTGGCCCTCAGATCTCGCCCTTCTACAGATCGCAGCGAGATAACCTTTAGTTCCCATTTCTTCTCATAGATGCCATTCTCATCACCCAAGACATGCCCCCCTTTGAGGCTGCTTTACACAGGCACTATCCGAGGAGAAGTTCCTACTTGATTAGCTAGATGTGATTGCAGTAATCGACACGACCCATGTGTAGGTGTTGCAATCAGAAACTGTGTGTGTGGATGTGGAGGAGAAAACAAGAGTCATTTTCCACCAAAGATAAAAGGATAAGACAGGGGTTTCGGTGACAGGTGACAGCTAGGCGTTGTAGGCACCTGTGTCCTGAATATCCAGTGGTCCAGCGGAAAGGCTTTCCCCCCAGGGCTGATAGGATCCCGGGTCCTCCTCCCACTGAAGAGCATCCTTTTGCTTTTCTGAGGGTCCACCTTTGTCTCTAAAAGGGGAGAGCAAAGGGTTGGAAAGCGTCTCCCTAGATGCCTTTCAGTCTAGAGGCTTTCTAACCCTTAAGGCTGCCCCCATGTTTACATTCAGATTCACTCCACGGTCGTCATGATTTTTTGTAAAATACCTTCGAGCGTCCATTCATTCATCTCCGTGGGGTAGATGAGAGACGCAGAAAAGAGAGCAAGCTCTCATCCACTTGTTCGCTCCCCCAAGTGCCTACAATTGCCAGGGCTGGGCCAGGCCAAAGGTAGGAGCTGGGAAACCCAATTTAAGTCTCTGTGTGGGTGGCAGGGACCCAAATACTTGAGCCATCACATGCTGCCTGCTCGGCAGCTCAAAGCTGGAATTAGGAGTGGAGCCAGGGTTCTCACTCGGGCATTCTGCTATGGGCTGTGGGTGTCCCAAGTGGCAGGTTAACCACTATGCCAAATGCACACCCCCATCGTGGTTTTAAGAGGTTTACAAAGTATTTCTTCAAGGACCCAGTTTACCCTGTAGGCGCATGCACTTAAGAGGCCAAG